GCCAGCCAGTTGATGAGTATGTAAAAGAGAAGGGGAAAGAAAAAGAGACCGAGCTCGACTTGTTCCGCATTTAAGTGGCCGCTCGCTGCCTTCAACTATGCTGACTTTGCTTTTGTTTATGTCAATCAGAAACAGAGTTGCCAGACACTCGCACAAAGCATTGCTGTTGTTTGTCTTTTCGGCCTGTGCGTGGGACTGTCAGCAGTAATTGCCGCAAAGTCTTGCATTTTGAGTGTCTGTCCATTCAGATATGTATGTATCTATGTATCTATTTATATGTATATGTAAATACATGTGCACACATATTTTTATGGCTTATCAGAACGCTTGCCGCTTGCATGTCTTAAGTTGGATGAAAGAAGTGGGTAGGCAGGCACATAATTCATTGGGTTGCGTTTATTAGGTCTGTAGTCGTCGTCGTCGTCGTCGTCGTCGTCATTGTTGTTGTTGTTGTTTTTGTTGTTGTAGTAGTAGTTGTAGTTGTTTCTGTGCCTATTCACACAGCAACAACAATTGCATTTGTTGTTTTTGTTATTTTCGTGGCTGCGCTTGGCTTTTATCAAGTGCACTTTAAGTGCACGAAGTACATAGGGCAATGGCAAGGGGAATGGAAGAGGCTACTTATGCATACACTTAAACATTCTTTCCATTTAGACAAAGCCCATATGACGTTCCATTTATTAATGCATATGCCAAACAATTTACAGTGTCACTCAAAAGTCGTGCAACACGACGAGTACAGTGGTTTAGTGAGACATTGGGAATGACAGTTGATTTCGCATTTATATTTGTATGTGGATACCATACAATGACATCAGTGCATTTGGAATTTTAAATGCAGCAAATGATGAAAAATGAAGATACACATTTACTTACCACACGTACAGTGTGCACAATACGTGATAAGTATTATGAAATCAATTAATAACATGTATGCATGCACAAATGTTGATTTATTATTCAATTATAAAGTACATTTTTTTTTTCATAAAGATATCAAAAAATGCATTTTAAAATCTGACTCAGCTTCAGTTGAGAAACGGAATTGCCCGCCTTGGTAACACTGTGCACAAATGCAGCGAAAGTGATTTTTAATGCGTTACTTTGTCTCTTGTCTCTTGTCTCTTGTTTTGTTTTGTTTTTTTTTTTTTTTTTATTTTTTAGGCTTTAAACGTGCGGAGTTTCATGAACTCAGATTAACAGTTACTTTATAGCGCCGATAACAACGTTAATGTATATGTTTATGCACTCCCCAAGTTTATTTTGATCGGTTTATTTGCCAGCTTTTCTGTGCAAGTTTTCACTTTTCCCCCGCCCCAGCGCATCTGTCGGTGGAGATGGAGATAGAGAGAGAAATACGGGGAGAGAGATAGAGAGAGAGAGAGAGAGAGAGAGAGAGGGGGAGAGAGATGTGCAAACAGAGACACCGAACGATTTACTGCCTCATTACCAATATTTACCAGGGTGGCAGCGCCACAGCTAACTGCTAATTTGTCATATGGCCAGCGTTTACGCTAATTAACACGCCTTAAAGGTGTGCTCCCCCAATCCAAGCGTCAGCTATATGACTTTGTCTGTTTTGCTACGCGTAGTTCCCAGCGGCTGCTGACTCACTCCGTGTAACGAGTATGCGTATCATTTATCCTTATGACTAATATTCGTATTATGTTTCACTCAAAACTGCAATGGCTCAGCCACGGCCACGCCCAACACAACAGACACAAAAAGTTAAATTGTGGCAGGGCAAGTGGTCATTTGGTTCGTCTATGCGGCGGATATGTGTCACTACTGATTATACAATTCACTTGGCTTTCTGAGAAAGTATGTGTGTTGTGTATGCACTACGCGTGCGCGTGTGTGTGTTCGGCTCTTTATCTTGTTGGCCGCATTGCCAATTTCTACATAAAAAAATTTATTACATGCAAGCTCGGCTCGTACAGGCAATGTGCAGAGTCAAATTTGTTGTACGTGTTACAAATTTTAATTAACTGAACGACAACAACAACTACAAAAACAACAACGACGAAGACGACGACAACAACCACAACGTTGATGAAGACGACAACACAAATTGACAGCACACTGGACTCTACAGGTGACAAAATTGTCGGTAGCCAAATGAAAAATTAAACCATAAGAGTAAGTTGCTTTTAAAGAATATTAAAATGGAGCTACAGTGAAAGTTTGTAAGAAAAAATTAATTATTAGAAATTATAAATATAGGATATGTTCATAAACTATTAGGGTAACTTATTTAGCTCTCGCTCCAATAGCCTTTGGCTACATTTAAACACAAATCTGATACTTGAACCCGGTTACTTGTTTTTCGAAAGACTGAATGACTTGAACAGGTCATCTACCGAGGACTGCAGTGCATTGAATTAAAATAAAAGTAAAATTTACATACAATTTACTTCGAATCTCATTGGAATTCCTCAGGAGCCTTTGATTGAATTATATCACGCTTAAGGTTAGGTTAAGGCTTTTTAAAAGATCTACATTTGAAGTACTTTTCAAATATATTTGTTTAATTTATTATTTTATTTATTTTATTATTTAAATACTTGCAAATTCTGCAAATAACTGTACCATTTATTATATCTGGTCAATCTGTTCTAGAAGTCTACAGCATGAAATTAAATATTTGTAATTTTGTCGGGAGGCAACTACTTTACACTATTTTCACAGTTAGTCCCTGCCCCTGCATTTAAAGATATTTCTTAGATGACAGCAACAACTGAAAAGACATTGTCATATACATAATCATGTGTTGGGTGGCTCATTATTAGTTTTTGTTCAATTGATTTCCTTTGACTATTTATGATCGGTTGCTTTATCGATGTGCCAAGTACTCGGCCTCAATGTGAGGAATGACAAAGTGTGCATAGATATGTAGATACTACACTTACTCAGAGCGCAATGAGCAGTGTTGATTAACATGTTTCCAATGTTGTTGACTTACTTATTGATGCCGATGCCGATTCAATCAACGTCAACCGCTAAAGTTGCGCTGATGTAATGCCGCCTTTGTTGTCGAGGTCGGGCTCCAGCTCCGGCTTGAGCTACGCGGGCTGCATGCAGGCATTTTGGACAAACATTAAAATAGTCACCAGCGAATGCTCCACTTCCAGTTAGTTGCGGGCAAACAAAGGTTCGTGCCTGACATGAGCAATTGGAATTTGACTAGTGAACTGGTTCCAGGCCACAAAACCGGTTCAACGAAAGCGAAAGACAACAACAAATACATGTAACATATATATATATATATATATATATATATATATATATATATAAATATATAACATGTACATCTATATATGTAGGTAACTGCGCCTGGGTTGACATTTTGTGGGTGGGCTGAAATTAAGCTGCTGACGTCAGAGAGCATTAGAGATGTGTCGGGAAACTTTACACGACCGGCCGCGATTAAATATCGTCAGCAAAGCAGTTGACTTAAGAGAGGAAAGAAGCACAGAATAAAAGAAACAAGCAGCTAAACACCATTTAGGATCTTTTGGCCCACTAATGAACTTCATTTGCTGTAAATTGACTTCAAATGACAATCACAACAAAGTTCATTAACAAAACTCTCGCGCGCTGATTGTCATAATCATAATTACGGTTTGTGTATGTTGCCGTTTGTTTCTGACCTTTTTGCTTGGCTTACCTGCTTTTTTCTTGTTTTGTTTTTTTTTTTTTCGGCTTAGCCACCAAAGCGATTCTTTACAATGCCAAGAAACGAACTTGAACTTGTTAACACTCAAGGTAAATTAAAGTACAATGCGTATGTGTATTATAATATGCATATTAAGTTGTAAATGTGATTAGTATTAGTCACAGTTAAAATATGTAATTGATGACTATTCAAGATTGCAAAGTTACATTTTTACGTTGCGAAAGTCAAATGTTATCAATTTGATTAACCAGATTAATCAAAGTATGGAATATTTTTAGACATTATATATTTCTAGTTGTTATTCATATATAAATATATATTTTATTGTGTCCAAAAACAATTCAAATCACATGCGACTATCGCGAACTTTCTTGTCATTAAATACATATTAACGCACTTGTTTTGGCCTTGTCAACACAACACAAACTAACTGTTGAATCTGGCAAAAGAAAGTTATCGATACAATCGATAACTCCTCAGCTCAACTGCATGCATCACAAATAGGCGATTGACAGCTTTGCACTTAAACCGAAAGCTGTATAAATACAACGGTAAGCGATACGTATGTATGTAAATTAAAAGCTAACCCTGCTGTCAGCTGGGTACGAAATTAGCCGTTGGGCCAGTTGCATTCAGTTCTGAACAATGGGCAATAAATCGCAACAATATGACAAAAAAAAAAAAACAAGTAAGAGGTTCTAGTCGGGAGCTCCCGACTAGAGGATACCCTGAACCCTTTTCTTCCAACATCAAATGCATATATATATTTTATTTTAGAAGCTATATGTAAAGTTTGCTGACTCTAACTCTTATTATTTACCAAAATTGCCCAAAAAACAGGATGTCGATATCGATTTTTATCGATTGCTTGGAAACGGAGTAAGGTATCGATTATCGGAAACAAACTCGATCTGCGCGGGAACTAGGAGCATCTACATATAAAATTTCAACGGACGGACGGACGGACAGACGGACATGGCTTGATCGACTCGGCTATTGGTGATGATCAAGAATTTATATACTTTATGGGGTCGAAGATATACCCTTATACCCATTTTTAATGGGTTCAGGGTATTGAAAAAAAAAACATGCAATAGCACAACAAAACCAACAGCTCGAACCAGCAGAGAGGCTTGAAGACCCTTGTCTTGAACAATGTTTGGCCATTGTATCGCCTGGAATTAGTCATCCTGAAGACCTAGACTGAGGCGTACAGTTAATAATGATTGCTGGGCGAAGATTGGGCCTTGGCTAGTTTTTGGGCCAATTTGTCGAATGTGCTCAATTATAACGCTTGAGCTTAATAAATAACTATAACTAACTGTTTGCGTTTGGTTGGGGTTCTTATCGTAACATTTTCTTATCTTTGACAAAAGAGTATTCAATTTATGTTTAACAAGACATTAGTTGGCAAAAGGCAATTGGCACATTATTCCCTGGCTGATACAATGGCTATTAAAAAACCAATTACGTTTAAGTGACATGTTTCTCTCGCTGGCGCTCTCTTTCTCTCTCTCTCTCTGTCTGTCTCTCTGTTCCTTTCTCGTACCGCAAAGCGCTCTTGGATTCTCTCTTTAAAAGTAACTTAAGTGTCATAACTTGAAAAAATATAAGTTCTTACCAATTACATACAGGAAACACACATATATATTTAAGTAAGTTTGTATGATTTTAAAGAAAAAATACAATTTCGATGCGTAAGCAGTTTGTTACAGGTTTTTGGCACTTGAAAAAGAGTTGCCACATTTGCCAAAAAAAAAATGATAGAAATCAAAAAATTGACATAGCTATTGAAATTGTTGCAGCAAAATGAATAATTTATTGAAAGTTAGTGAATTTATGGTAAGACGTTTCTTTAAGATCTTTGAAATAAAACACAAATGACCCAAAACTGTTTTAACTCAACCGATCGATGTTATAACAACCCTATTACACAATCCAGCACACGATTATTAAACGTAATCTGATATTCTTAATCGATATCACCACAAATTTGTGGACTGACTGACTGACCGGCTGACGTATTGAATTCAATGTGGAGCAAGGCGTTGCTCGCTTCTTGTTGTTATTGTTGCTCGCTTGGTAGGTTGGCAGATTGGCAGGTTGGCAGGTTGGTTGACTGGTTAGGGTGCCTCTTATCAGAGCAAATGACCAAAATACCCAAAAAAAAAAAAAAAAAAAAAAAAAAAACCTACATACATACGTATATAGAACCCAATTACTGGCTCATATGACTTTATTTTTTATAGAACTCAAGTGGCATGCAAATTGAATCAAAATAGAATCTAATTGAAATAAGTAAATTGAAATGTGCAGTCGATGCATGACTAACTTGTCAATAGGCTAAGAACTTTTGATTGCTGATGTGACTAACCAAAAGTAAAAGAATAACAAAAAGCATAAGAAGGAAAACAGAGTACAGCAAGGCAACACACATGATTCAGGGCATAAAAACAGCCGCTCTTCAATATGGTTTGGTCTCCATCGATCGATCGATCGATCGATCGACCGTGCTCAGCGGTCTTATCATAAACTCTGCTGCGCACTCGATTTGCGGGAGAGGTGCGCGAGTATGAGAGCATGGGTTTTCTGCTTCTGATAAAAGAAAAGGCATAAATAGTGCGCACTGCGCCAGGCGCTCAATTAGTAGTACAGCTCGTCCAGTGGCGCTAACAGCAAACGCCCGCAAGCAGAGTAATTTCGCCAACCCTTTGCCAACCAGTCGCGCGCGCTAACTCAGTTTGTGGCAAATCCTTTGCTCTCTCTCCCGTTTGCTCAATCGAAGCTCTCGCGACTTGTGGTCATTCGTCAAGTTTTGTTCTCGCGCCATTACTGTGCACTCTCTCTCTTTCTCTCTCTCTCTCTCTCTCTCTCGAGAAGTTAACCACATAACGGTTAATTGGTGCAGCCGCTTTCAATCGCCTGTCGTTCAGCACTCGTGCCGCGCACTCATAACGATCGCGTGTCCGCGCGCCTTTGACCGACCCCCTCGCCATTCTTCATATATATAGCTCCATTTGTGGCTTCTCCTTCGTTTATGTTTTTGTTTTCGTTTCTGTGTGTGCGTGCGTGTGTTTGTATTAAATCAATTTACTTAATTCACGCATAATTTTTATTTTGTTTTTGTTTATTTTGCTCAGCAATTAAGTGGCTAAGCAAGAGGCAAAGAAAACATTCAAATTGAATAAAAACCAAAGTGCCCCTGAAAACGAAAACCTATCGAATAATATATCAAAAATGTCTGATATTATCAACGTTGAGCATCATGAAAGCGTCGAGGAGTTCAAGCAGAATCTGGAAGAAATGCTGCCCGATGTATGTACATATATACATAGAGATATACATATAGAGAGATCGTTGGCATCTAGATGGCGCCACAGTGCTTAACACTTTTTAATTTATTTTCAACAATTTTTTTTTTTTTTATTTCATACATATTTTTTTTATTACTCACAATTCACGTAATCAGAAGTGTTTGCTCTCACTATGCTTGTTCTTGTGCCGCCATTGTCGGCACACTGTTTTTTTTTCTTTTGTTTTATTTTTTTTTTTTAATCGATAACACACAGACAAGCTCACAAAAAATACTTCTATGGGCTGGCTGCTCTTTTTATATAGACAGTTACAGTGAACACCTTTGATAAAGTTCACGCGCCACGCAATCGCAATCAACTGACCACGAACTTCCGTTTATTGTCACTCATTCCATGGTGACCATTTTCGCCTGTGCCCTGTGCCGGGCCTATCACATACATAGATAAGTATTTTGCCTAGGCCAAAGCCAACACCCTTGAAGGGAGGTACGACAACAACAACCGTTATCGGTCGCCCCGTCTCAGCGTCTCGCCCAGTTACCACTCACTATATATTCGCTCGTAATCATTACCATATACGTAAACTGGTGCTATATTCGATTTTGTTGCCATTTTGCCACAAAACTTTATCTTATCGGGAAACGCGAAGCAAACGAAACAGCCAACAGCCAACATCATCATCATCGAGCCGAACGACACAAATTCCATACAATATACCCATCTCTAGACCCCTGCTCCAACCATATACAAAAGCATACGAGTGTGTGTGTGTGTGTGTGTGTATACCTATATCTGGCCATGATGAGAATTTCACACCAAAGTCGTAAACGCTTGCGATTCCTCCATGTCGAAATGTTTGCGCTTGTCAATGGGGGCTTGGGGATTGCAACTAATTTCTACACCAACCACCAACTCGACATATACTTCCATTTGGGCTTGGCTTTACTATTTGACGAGAACGTCTATTGTTTGCCGGTTAAATCATGTATTTGTCATGTTTTTCAATCTTTGTGTAAAGACTTTATATTTTAAAAATTTCAACAATAAATAATAATGTTTCTCTTTCGTGGAAGAGATCGTAAGATCTCTGAAACTTACATCGTTTCCTTAACTGAAATACCCTATAAGTACTTATACATGAAAACATTCAGAGATAATATTTTAAATATTGAGATGCTTATGTGAATATTCATCTGTTTGTGCTGAGTAGTACTTACAAATGTACAAGGTAGTGAATGTAAATTAAAGAATTCAACAGATTTTTCTTAATAATAATAATTAATTAATCAGCAAAGACTGCGTAGCTGATAAGGCATCGGCAGGAATCCGATGGAAGAATAACCGACAATTTCTATAGATAGATAGAAGAAATTAAAAGAGAGTGGGTTAGGTGGAGAGGGGAGGGGAGGGGAGTGGAGAAATGAGAATGTGATTGGCAGAACTTTTACATACGCAGGTGAGGTAATGCCTCAAATAAAACATATGCCTCCATCAATTGAAATGGGTTGTCGGAGGAACTGCCGCTGGAATATGCGCCGGCACGTCGTCTGCTTAGCATTTCGGGAGGGCAACAATTCCATTTCATTTATTTGTGAGGCGGCGGCGGAATCCAATCGCTGAGTCACCGAATAAAACTAGAAATTTGCCTAAATAAGTGGGCAATGAGTAAGAATATCATTAGTCATCAAAGATTTCTAACTCGCGCTATCTATGCTTGTCACACTTGCAGCTGGACGCGAATAAGGATGGTTTCATTGATCTGCACGAGCTGAAGGATGCACTCAATCAGGTGGGCTTCAAGCTGGCCGGCTATCAGGTGCGCGAAATGATTGACGAGTTCAAAAGCAAACAGCGCACAGCGCATCAGGGCAAACTGAACTTGGATGAGTTTGAGACACTGTGCCTGGATCTGAAGTCAAAGGATGTGGCCAGCACATTTAAGACGGTTGTATCAAAAAAGGAGAACCTAGAGACGTTGGGCGGCATGTCCAGCATATCGTCGGAGGGTACCACGCATTCGGTGCGGCTCGAGGAGCAACTGGCCTTCTCCGATTGGATCAATTCAAATCTGGGCCATGATAAGGACCTGCAGCATCTGCTGCCCATTGATGCCGAGGGCAAGCGTCTATATCAATCGATCAAAGACGGCATCTTGCTGTGCAAGATCATCAATCACTCCTGCCCCGATACCATCGATGAGCGCGCCATTAACAAGAAGAGTCTGACCGTCTATCGCGAGTTCGAGAATTTGACGCTAGCGCTCGTCTCCTCGCAGGCCATTGGCTGCAACATCGTCAACATTGATGCCCACGATCTGGCCAAGGGCAAGCCGCATTTGGTGCTCGGCCTGCTCTGGCAGATCATTCGCATTGGCCTGTTCAGTCATATTACCCTGGACAGCTGTCCCGGCCTGGCTGGTCTGCTCTTTGACAATGAACGGCTCGAGGATCTGATGAAAATGTCGCCAGAGGCCATATTGTTGCGCTGGGTGAACCATCATCTGGAGCGTGCCGGCATCTCGAGACGCTGCACCAACTTCCAGTCGGATATTGTCGACTCGGAAATCTACTCGCATCTGCTTAAGCAAATCGCCGGCAACGAGGCCGATGTCAATCTGGATGCACTTCGCGAATCCGATCTGCAGCAGCGCGCTGAGATTATGCTGCAGCAGGCGGCCAAGTTGAATTGCCGCAGTTTCCTCACGCCACAGGACGTCGTCAATGGTGTCTACAAGCTGAACTTGGCCTTTGTGGCCAATCTGTTCAACAACCATCCCGGCCTGGACAAGCCTGAACAGATCGAGGGTCTCGAGTCCATCGAGGAGACGCGCGAGGAGAAGAGTAAATTAATGGCCCATCACCAGCAGCGCATCCTAATTCATATGCCTTCTCCTCTTCTTTTTTATTATAGCCTATCGCAACTGGATGAACTCCATGGGCGTGGCGCCGCACGTCAATTGGCTGTACTCGGATTTGGCCGATGGCCTGGTCATCTTTCAGCTGTTTGATGTCATCAAGCCGGGCATTGTGAACTGGAGTCGCGTCCACAAACGCTTCACGCCGCTGCGCAAGTTCATGGAGAAGCTGGAGAACTGCAACTATGCCGTTGATCTGGGCAAGCAATTGAAGTTCTCGCTGGTCGGCATTGCTGGCCAGGATCTGAACGATGGCAATGCCACGCTCACACTCGGTACGTTCTAAAGCCAACCATCCGGATTAAGCTTATTACCAAATATCACATTGACAACACTGTAGCCAGCGTCATTTTTTTTTCTGCCGTATTCGAGAACAACTCTCAGGCAACGATGCAAAAACGACACTTTGGCTAGTCTCTCAAACACTTCGTTAACAAATAGATGCTCCGTTTAACTTACTTGATCCTTAATTTTCCTCTCTTTTGTAATTCCTCTTTGGGTCACATCCGTAAACGTTTTAATGGCAGCGCTTCACTTGCGACCAGACTCGCTACAAACAACAGACACTTGTTTGTTTTTTCCGATTAACACGATTAGCAGACCCTTTAATTACATTAGCTATTCCTTTATTTGACACTCGTAAAAGTTTAACTGGCTGGCCTGTGTTAGACTATTTAATTTGAAATTTGCTTGTCTCTCCTTTACACAGCTCTGATCTGGCAGCTGATGCGCGCCTACACATTGTCTATATTGTCCCGGCTGGCCAACTCGGGCAATCCCATCATTGAGAAGGAGATTGTCCAGTGGGTGAACACACGCCTCTCCGATGCCGGCAAGCAGTCGCATTTGAGGAACTTTAACGATCCGGCAATTGCCGACGGCAAGATAGTAATTGATCTGATCGATGCCATCAAGGAGGGCAGCATTAACTACGAACTGGTGCGTACCAGCGGCACACAGGAGGTATGTACCCCAGAAAAATAAACAACTACATAATTGGGCTAGTTCTTAATGCCTTCTTATCCCTTTGCGCAGGACAACCTGGCCAATGCCAAGTATGCCATCTCCATGGCGCGCAAAATTGGCGCACGTGTCTACGCCTTGCCCGAGGACATAACCGAGGTCAAGCCCAAGATGGTGATGACCGTCTTTGCCTGCATGATGGCGCTGGATTATGTGCCCAACATGGACAGTGTCGATCAGAACAACCACAACAACAGCAATTGAATTGTGGCAGCAACAGCAACAACGACGACAACAACTACTCAATTATACTTAGACAAAAGGAGTAACAATTATAAAAACAACAACAACAAAATATTGTAAACAATACGTACGCCCATGCATACACGTGCATGTGTATTTGCTAATTAACTGAAACTAACTTTTAAATACGTGGCGCAACACAACGACAACAAACAACACCGACATTAACAATAGCTGCGCCCCGCAAATTGTTCTTGTAAACGTTCTTTTAGAATTTTTTTTTATTATTATTATTGTATTATTTTTTTGCTATTGTAATTAAGCGTAAAAAAGTTGAAAACAAAAAAAAAACAAAAACCACACACACAACACCTTTTGTGTTGCATGTGCTCATTATAACCAATTTTTTTTTGTAAACAAAAATTTATTGTTTAACTATATAAAGTGAAAACCTTATTTTATAAATAAAGGTTTGGCCCTTTTCTGCTTTAGTTGTATCTGTTTACGCCGAGAGTTGAACGTGCAAGAAATTTTGTAACAAATTTAATAATAGAAACTAAATACTTTGTAATATATATTTATAAACAATATATGCATCAACATACACATAAAACAATACAATATACATAAAGAATATACATATATATATATAACTATATATGTATATTTATACATAATCTATTTTTGCATAAAGAGTTGCCTGATAAAGAAAAGGGACAAAGATGTGAGTGAATGCGGCAACTTTTTTGTTCTAATTGTAAGTAAACTTTTAAAAGCCCATTTTGTTTGTTTTAATTTTTTTATAATATTTTCTTTGCGTGTGTGTGCGTGCTGGTGTGTGCGCTCGTGTGCTCGTCTGCTCGTGTGTATGTGTGTGTGTGTGTGTGTGTGTGTGTGCGTGTGCGTGTGCGTGCTTCACATTAGAGCGGAATGGCAACAGGGCATGGCTTAGAAAGAGCTAGCAAGTAATATGTCTGTTGTTTTTCTTAGTGCAAAGAGGCGACTTGAAATTGGACATAAATAAAAGTAATATCATGCGCATTACGAAACTAAAGTAATAAAGTAAATAATAAAAACAACAACAAAACAGGAAACCAATATCAACTGGCATTTATTTACACCCAGCGAAACACATCGACAAGCTATTATATTTAATTGCTTTTCAGCAATATTTTAAAATTGCATAAAGCCCATTTTAATTTTGTTGTAAACTTATCGAAAACGAACAACGTTATTACCACAATCCAGCTGTGTACTATTTTGATATCCCAATATCTTGAAAATGATGTGGCATTTTCTAATTGTTTAGAATTATAATCTCGAGCTTCATAAATTGAGTCAATGTAATCTCGAGCACTTCTGAGCGCCACACCCTAATATATATATGTATATAGAGCTACACAATCACAAGCACTATTCGAAATCAGTTTTAGTTCCCAATCGCTTTTGCCAATGTTGATAAGCCTGCATACGTGGGCCAGAGCTTATCTAAAATGATCCTAATTATTTCGTGAACAGAAATATGCAACCAAGTATAATTTCAGGGCAATCTTTTAGGATAGGATAGAGACCTTATATTATATACATACATTTATATCAACCGGCTCAGTTTCAGCACTGGATATCTGGGAAGATATTCAATATGGATATTAATGAGATGCTGAATACTATAACTTATATAGAAGACGTCTCCGACACTATAAAGTATATGTATGTATATATTATTTTTTTCTTTGTAACTCATAAACCTCCTGTTTCTTTGCATAGCTCTTGGTCCGAATCAAGTGAAATAACCCAATATATCATAGAGGTCTCACTCGAACTTTGCTTTCACGAGGTGCTTATATATGGGCATAGCCTAACTTAAATCTAAACAATCTATTATATATAGCTACAATAGAAAGGGTAGGTCCAAAATCATGTTCTCTTTGAAAACAATTATTTATTTTTCAAGAGGTTTCGATCAATCTAGGCATTTACAAGTTTTTCCAAGCATCCTTGTGAAGAGCATAAGTCCTGTCCACATCGGATAACTATAGCTATAATAGTAATCTGAACAACTTTTGACTTGTCAAGAAATATTTACTGAACAATCGATCTGAAAAAGAGCTTATGCATAGAAACATTTCTATATATACATTTCGTATCGGAGACAGATTGCTTTTAAATATTTCACATTATTTATAATAAAAAAAAAATATATATATATATATATATATATATATATATATATATGTATATGTATATGTGTATATATATATATATAACAATATGTGGAAAATATTTGTTTCTATAAATTCATTTATTTGGGCTCCTTTTATAAAAGCGTAAAGGCATGTGCATATTGTTTATATGTTTAAAAAAAAAATATATATATGTAAAAAAAAAGAGATTATTGTTTATAGACATAACTAAACTGCTGCAATTGGGATTGCGACACGCCTACGCAATACCTTGGTTAGCCGGCGGGCAGGTGGCGACAATGACGACGGCATTCGGGTATCATTGCGAGCCGGTGTTGGCTGTGTGGGGGTCATCCTGTCATCCGGGCTGCTACCCTGCGCATAGCTGTAGCTGATGGTGCGCTTGTAGAGACGCTGCTCCTGCTCCGACTGCTGCGATTCCCCGCCATGTGGCCGGCCCGGCTTGGCTCGGCTCTTGATCTGCTTGTTTAATGCCGCATCGTAGCAGCGGCGCATATGCTGACCGCCGCTGTCCTTGCAATCGTAGCAGACACTGTTGCCTACCATGCGGCGCTCGCAGAGACTGCTGTCGGCGCCGGGCTGAACAATTGAGGTCTGGCGTCCGGTGCGCCGTTGCCGTACTGTTGCATCCTCCTCCTCGCTCTGTTCATCGGAGGACGGTGCGTCCCGGTAACGCTTGTACTGAGAGCCACTGTCGTAGGCATAGTGCTCCGGCTGTGCCTCGTGCGAGTAGCTGCACGTCTCGGTGACCTCGTTGTTGCGCGCCTCGCGACATATTTTGCACAACTGGCCATTGCGCTGGACACGACGGCAGCGATGCTGTTGGACATTGCTGCTAGCCCCCGCCTGGGACTCGACGCTGTCATCCAGCTGCGCCTGATGCCCGTCAACATCATCAGCCGCGTCGTCCGGTATGCGATCAAAGTATTGCCGCACAAACTGCTCATAATTGCGCTCGTAATCCTCGCCAGAATGGCCTTCGGCACTGTGGCTATCCAGCTCCAGTTGCTCCACGTCACCATCATGATCGATAGCCTCGGAATCCGCATCAGCATCCACATCGGCATCGGCATCAGCATCCATTTCCGCTTGTGCTTCTATTTCCTCATCGTCGTCCGCATCCTCATCAAGCTTTGCCTGTGCGCTGGGTCGCTGTTGCTCCGTCAATGCATTGACCTGGCCGTGCTGCATATCCGTTGCAGTTAGCGCATCCAAACGCTGCAGCAACTTGCCTGGCGCAAAGGCCTCCCAATAGTTGACACTCTGATCGTAGCCAACGACCGCGCCGACCATCAGCAGCAGCAGCAACATTTCGATTTAAGACGCTGCGCCAGCCGGCGGTTCCCTATATATGCCACCAGTTTGACCAGCGATGCGTGTCCAAATTCAGATTGGAGTTTGATTGGGCAATGGAGAAGCAATGGCAACCGCAGCACGTCAGGAAATGGAAGCCGCAGCTGCCGCTTGCTGCAATCGCCGACGACAGCTTAAGGAAGTGCGAGTGAAAGGCAAAGATTCGTTCGTGGCTGGCGTTTTATTGTGGCCAACCAGGGCGAACAGCTTAAGATGGGGGTCATTAAACTAAGGCCAATTGGTAACTAGAAGCGTATGTGTGTGTGTGTGTGTGTGTGTGTGCTGACTTTTCAATAAAATTATAAGTGGACCATGGAATGGATCGTATAGCAGAGGACGGTTTGTGGCCATCAGGACTACGCAATTCGCTGCATATCGCTAATCCGCTGGGCGCCGATGCTCGGCTGCGGCGCCTTAGCTGGCGGCTGGCGCTGATGGCGCATCTCGCGACGTTTCTCCCTTATCATTTGCTTGGTTTGTGACGTGTCCAGCTCCTCCCAGCCGCCAGAGTTGTCATCCACCCAGTCTTCAAGATCAGCCTGCAAGTGTAATTTACTGTAGTATAGTACCTCTGGGTGTGCAACTGAGCTTGACTTACATTGACACTGATGGGCACCATGTCGTGGGCCTTCAGTCTGGAGAAGTCTGTTGGCGCTGGCGTCAGCGCCGCATCGTCCAGGTAATATTTAGGCTGCGGCTTAATGTCCGGCGTCAGTTCCTGCATGCGAATGGAAGACATCTAACAGCTGTCTTTCTGGGACATTGAGCTGGCAAACACTTACACTGAAGAAGTCCGGCTCGGGCTCCTCTTTGGGCGGTGTTGGCGGCTGTGCCATGCGCTGGCGATACTGCTCAATGTGCTCCTCCACGGTGCGCGGACTGTCATCCCAAGAGTTCCAGTCACGTTCTTTGCCGCCACCGCCCGTTGTTGTTGTTGCCGCCGGCTTTGTTGTTGCTGGAAAGTCGCCAATTGTGATCGCTTGCAGCTGGTCGCTGCCGCCGTGGCTAAGCTTGCGGCGTCGCGAGAAGCAGCAGAGTGCACGCCGGCAGAGCGTTATGATGCCCAGTAGGAGCATTTTGATTTGTTGCAGCACCATTTGACCACAGTTTAATTGAAGTTCCTATTATTTATATGGGGGGAATGGGGTTCAGCAAAAGTAAGTGGGACACACAAAAGAGAAACAAGCAAAACAAATATGAGATGTTGGGTGAGTGTGACCATGCATGATTAAACTGTCAGCTGTTGGCCGACAAACGAAAAGCTAAGGGCTATGAAACTGCAGTGTTCACAAGAGTCGATAAATCACAAATGCGCTATAAATTATATCTAAAATTCACATTTGAATAGTCTTATAATACAAAACGAACAACATTTAATTGGATTCCTGAGATTCTGAAATTTATCGATAATTGTGGAGACACGTAAGACCGTAATGCGCGTCGAATTAGCGGCGGTGACTTATCTTCGATTTTTGGTACTTGGTATCGGAAAAGGTATTGGTCACTTTAAAATGCATTTAGTTATGTTTTTAAGAACAAAACCAAATAAATTTAAATGTAGAATTGCAAAAAATTAAATTGTTTACTGTCTAATTTCATTTATTTTTAAATTTCAGCTTAATTATGGGAAAACCAAGGGGTTGAAAATTGGGTTTCCACCATGCTTTAAATATCTTAGTTCAAATTTTCTTGATGTAAAAAGCAAATTGATTGATACTTCACGATCTTTATCTTAATCTATCGTGCATTTAGGGCCATTATCAAAGAAAAATAAAATTGGTATGAAAAATATGTTAAAATATTGCCAACTTTTTGTTATTATATTGGGTAATGAAACAAAAATTCAATGTTGCCATATTTAGCAGCAGTCTATTTTACCAAAGATAATTTTTTTTTTTGTAAAATATCAGTTTTTGCATTTATTACTGCATTTTTTTCACATATACAAATATTTTGAATTAATTTGTTTCCGCTCAATACTGTATAACATTGTTCAACACTGATTTCGAGCAGTGGTTCGGTTCCTGTTGGAGCTAGTAGCTCGATAGGCCTTTTGAATGAACAACGTGAGGCTTTCATTTTATTATTTTTTCTAAAAATCTGGCTGATCGGTTTGTTTAGAATCAATGCGTAAAACTTTCTAAAATATGTATCTTCAAGTTGGCAAGGGTTCAAGTACAACGCTAATATCTTACTCATTTTATATGGGGCTAGCAACGAGGTTGCTACACGATATAGGCTTGATGCGGTATTCGGGTCCAACATCCCTAAATTGAGATATTTGAGGAATGTCGGAAGCCCAATTTTTCAACCCCTTGGTTTACCCGTCTTATACATTCATATTCAAAATCAAATGAATGTAGGCAGTAAATTATTTATATTTTTTACAATCCTGCATTTAAATTTAACTGGTTTCGTGTATGTAAAATGTATGAAACAAAAACTACTGTTTGCAATTACAATGTTTAGTACACTTAAATTATACAATATCAACAGAATCTATCAAGTTTAGTAGTTTACTTACTTTGGCCGTTTTTTTTTTTTTTTTTTTTTTTTTTTCTTTGCTTACAAATTATCAATTTTCAGCCTATACCCGCACGTTGAAAATTAATACCTACCCGCACTACAATGAACCTGACATTTAAATGTGATATATAATTTAGATATTTTCAAATTGAGTCAATCAGACTACTATACAACCCTTTTTCGTGATTTTACCACACTTGGTAGAGTTTCCTACAACACCATCTTAGCGTTAATTTACATCTCACATTCAAAAATAATTTCGCTTATATTTTTCATTTTGTGAGTCAAAAAATATTTAGAACAAAACATATTAAATATTTTCAAATAAAAACTAAGTCTGAGACTATTTGTACAAGGCCTAAGCCAACAGCAAAAGGCCAATAACCATCATATAATAACAATAACGTCATCCTCAATACGTCCTGTCGTTTCCATATCCAAGGCTTCAAGGGTGCGCACTTTTCGTGCCTTACAGGCGTCTTATAGGCGTCTATAGGACCTTTGCGACACAGATCACAACTGTAATAAATAATGAAAAGTTTAGCTTGCTGATTCTAAATGGGTTTCAGAAGACTTACGCGTGGGCTCTTTCAACCGTGTATATTAGGAAATTTCAAATTGTCTGAATTAATAAATATTTTAAATATTTTAAAGAAATTATTATGTCGATTACCAACCTCATCTTCTGTGGAGTGTACAACAATACAATAATATTGTAGGCTATGTTAAGCTTACTCGCATTCTGGCAACTTGACGGCAATGTAGAATTTCTTGTGCTCGGTCAGAAGCATCTGAGGAATAGATGTCGCCACAAACATTTACTGAATTCGCCATCGCCTTGGGTCACTGTTGAACTTTCGGCGTCTTCTTAAGATATCCTTGTCGACATGGCCATCTGCAAATAAATCCAATCCAACATTTACGATCCCTGCTACACACATACATAAATATGTATGCAAACAATGAATATGTATACTTGTATATAAATATTTGTATGCAGGCATTAAAAGGAATCAATGTGATGAAATTCTCATTTTATTTGTATGTACATACATATATATATGTATATACATTTATGTGTGCATACAAAACTATAAATTCAATTATTTACAAAACAGTCTATAGGTGTATGCGTACAAGGTACGTATGTGTGTTAGTTCTTATACCACATATAAGAACGAAAATCATATAATCACGAAAACTAAAAATTATCTTTTTATCCATCATTTTACTAAAGATGTTAACAATCAAGCTATCTATCTATCTGGCCGATAGTTATTGCGCTATTCATTCCATTTTAAATATCAATATCGATATTTAATGCCGATACCCATCCCTATTTGGCAGAGTCAAGTTGGCACTGATCGCACTCACTGAATCGTAATGCGCAACATAAATAGAAAAATAACCTAATTATTTGTATATGGAGTAATTTGTTAGCCAGTTAAAACTTTTCTTACGAATACTCCAATTAAGCGGACACCTCTCATTGCGGACATCTGCTTAACCCATTATTTTGAATGAACAAATATGAATGAGACCACCGTCGTTATAAGGAGTGTCCTACTCCTCTTGAGCGGGCAAAAATTACTCGATGGTCGCCATCCGCCAAATAGAGTTTTCATCGTACTCTAATACATATCTTCTTCTTCACTATTATTTTAAACAAATTTACTCCGCTGCCTTTGTTCAGCCATTTTTGAAATCCCTTGGCACATACAAAATTGTAACAAGTCCATCAAAACAAATGGGAGGTTATGTGAGCGTGTATTGCATTTGCAAACATTGCAAACATGCCTATGGAGAACTGATGTTAAGATTCACCCCAACGGAGTCCTCTCCACAATGAGTCATACGTGCACCCGCCTGAAATCCTTATCACACCCACCATTAAGTTCCTAATCGGAAACGTTCAATAATACTTACACAAATACGTTTAATAGATTAACACTTCAAATTATTAACAATTTTATACATTTTTTTTGCAGGCTGACAACGCGAAAAGGATTTAATAACACAGACGCAGAGGGCAGATAAATTAATATATGAACAATTTCGAAAATAAATAAGTTTATATCATAGCCGCCTGCGCGTGGCAGCTACCTTTAAATAATAACAATCGCCTATAATTAAGAATACATAACAATATTTAGAATAACTCTAATTAAATAAGTAAAGCATTATATGCATTTAGTAGTAGTAATTTGTTTATTTCCGGCTTTCCGTTTATTTGGCAGTTCTGCGAGGAGGGCAGCTCTTGTTCTTAGTTTTTTGCACAAAAAAAATATTTAACAAGAGCCGCTCAGCCTGTCAAAAAAAAAGCCCAGTCACACTTAGGGACTTCTGACTCTGTAATTTTCATGAACTTCAAAAGATAAGTTAAGCATTTTGGTTGCTTTTAAATATTTAATTGTTTCTGCGATAAAAAAATAATTCCATTTAATTATTTTTCTTATTAGTGATTTCTGATATTAGCTTATTAAAGATGCTAAGAAACCATCGCTTAATAACAAGGAATTTAAAGTAAGGCTACGATTACCAATTATCAGTCGATTACCTACTAATCGATAAGTGAGTGTTGTACATCCCTAGCTTTTGGTGAAGGAGATACTTGAACTTCTTTATTACTTAATATTTAATTTGGTTTTTAAAAATTGGTTTTGGTATTACTGTCATATTTTACAATAATTAAAGCGCACATCATTTGGGAGACACTGTTTTTTTTATGATCAAACTTCTCTTTCTTTTTTAAATCATTTGAAACTGCAACATGTCTTATGTATGTAGCCAAGGGCTTGGTATGATATTATAATTATTGAACATTAAAAATTAAATTGTGAATTACTCTGTACATTAAAATATTTTGGAATGAGGGATAATTTACTATGTACAAATCTAAGTAACTTTGCTAAATAACATTTGGTGCCGTCCCAACAAAACTTAAACAAAACAAAGTGCACTCGGCATTAATCTTTATGGTACTCGAAGTTACAGAAGTCGCATAATTGTACCCAAGAGGTTCGACATTTATTATTTAAAATTAAGTCTTGTTTTAATATATGTACGCGCTTCCTTAATATATGTAAATGTTTTGCTTCTTAACAAATCTGTCTCATCTCTTGTCTACAACGGGTTTCTATAAACAAATATACAACGGTTACTATTTTAAGTTTATAACAAGCTTAATACGAACTATAAAATAAAATTGGCGCAATTTACAGAGAGTTAAGGTATTAAGGCATTGTATGTGTGTAAATGCATACATATGTTTATACATGCAAGTTGTTAGCTGAATAAATTCGTTTGAGCAGAAGTTTGACAAACATAAATAAATGGCAGAATTTTAATAACAAATTGCATTATATACGTAATATAGTTAAGAATTTCTTGAATCGTTTCAAAAATGCCTAAAGCAAACTCATGCCACTACACATCAGAGACGAACACTCGCTGGTGTGTCTCGTTGAGTGAACGCATCATTATTTGTCTCGCTTCATCCTTTACGAATCGCGAATACTGGGTATAGTCTGCCCATCTCTTTTATATCTGTGCTGTCTTATGAAAGTCGCGTGTGACGAAAGTGTATGTAAGTGCGTGTACAAAAGCCCGAAACCACTTAACATAAAATTGTAAATGATCAAGTACCCGCAATTGTCGTCTCTATTGTATAAGATGACTTGGGATTTTTGGGACATACTTATATCTTATTTTAGTAGTTAATAATTATTCAAGCAACACAATATATTTTTTGTTCTGTATGCCCCAAATGGTTAGTGATTGCGCGGCTGTTAAATAAGGATAGCGATAGTGATATCTAATACGACGACACTGAATTTTGGTTTTCGAAATACACGCAGCGTTGAGTGTTACCGCCACGGCTAAAATCATGAACAAACACATTCCACACTATTCAACACTGTGGCCACTCGTTACTTTGTTATCTAGCGACGCTCTCTCACACACATACTAACGCACACCACCTAAAGCAACCGATTGCTTAAACACTTGCTTTGCACCGCATATTTTTGCTTTGCCCTCTCTCAGTGAGCAACTGTGCGCTCTTACTCTCCGTCGAGTACGCTTACTCGTCGCTGTCGCTACTGGTCGCAGTCGTCGTCGTCTGGCACTAATACACAACACAGAGTCATAGTCGTTTCAGCTTCAGTCTTTCTTTCTAGTTCTGTTGCTACTCGTTCGCGAAATCAGTTGACTTTCTGCTGCAACACAAGCGGACTGAAAATTTTTGTTTTAGTGTTGCAAAAAAATTTTTAAAAATTTTCATAAATCAACGAAAAATGTGAAAAATGTATGGTAAAAATGCATAATTGACTAAAAATCTCAAAAATATTAAAAAATTAACTGTGCCGCAAAAAAATAAATTTAAAAAAATTAAACAAAGTTTTAAAATTGACTACATTTTTTTTTATATTTTTCCTTACCATTTTTGCACATTTCGTATTTCGTGCAAAAAAATTTATCAATTTTTTTAACGACGCTATAAATTTAAAATACGCCTGAAACACAAAATTTCTGCAATAGAAAACTTTGATACGACATGAAGAAGAAAACGGACGAGCAACGACAAAAAAAAGGAATATATTTTCTGTCGTCTGTTTTTCTTTCTTTTTCCAATGCTTCTCGCACTCGTTGGCAGTGCCTGTGCTGTGTGTATGCACACCAGTGTGAAAAATACAAATACCAAAGCCAGCATTTATTATGAGCTCTCGCTCTCTACTCGCTACCATTATTGTCTCGTTGCATTTTATACATGTGTGTGGTAAAACGTCGGCGCGACTCGGTCGAGACGGAGAATAATCGCTTATACATGCATATACATGCAAGTATGTATATATATATTTATATAATATGTATGTGCGATGAGCGCGCGCCCTGTGTTGCGATGTACTCGCTAATAAAATCAGCTAAATAACAGCAAGGCGTAGCGGCATTCGTTTGTACGCGAAAAAGCTTTGAAAAGCTTCAGATGCTTCGGGTCTCTGGTTTGGTATTTGTTCAGACTATTTACTCGCCACTCATCTTTGGCGCAGAAAACAACTAATTTTCATATGTATGATGAGATTTGACATTAAAGAAACGTGTGATCCAGGGTCGAGTTAATTTACGGGTCGCTTTTATATACATTAATATGTTCATCTATTTGCATTCATCAAACAATGTTTGCGCGCAATTTCAAAGCTGTCGCCGCACTTGTACACGCTGCTGGCCCATTTCGTGCGTGTTGGCTAACCAATAGTGCGCACATTTAATTATGACACATCTGTATGTGTGAGAGTGAAACACGTAGACGCATGCGAGATGGAGATGACAAATATCAGCGAGATGGCGAATACTACGACCAACAACAAGACCTAAAAACAGAAAGCAGCGAGTTGTTTTTGGTCTGCAGGCGGCAACGGTAGCCGCTTTCGGAAAATAAATCTCAAACAATTTATGTTCCCATAATTTGTTGACTATTTCTGATGTGCGTGAGGACTGTGTATCAAATGTGAATCTTATAGGTCATTTAATTTATACGTGTGTGTGCTTGTAGTTTCGTGCTCTAATGGAAAGTATTACTTTGTTATATTTTTACAGTTATGTGCAATGTGGAATATAGCGAATGTAAACACGATAACAACAGCAACATCAACCACTTCATAAACACTGCAGACATGTGAATGCTTTTCAAATCAACAACATTAAGTAAATGTATCAAAGCAATGTTATAAAAATCAAAAACAAAAGTTGAAAGAAAAAAGAAATCAAGCAAAAACCAACATCAACAATTAGCGGCTGTAAAATGGTACAGCAGAAATAGCAAAAACAAAATCACAACAAAGCGGCAGCAGCAAATGCAATATCGCACGCATTTGCTTGCTGGCTTTGACAGTCCTTTCTTCTTACGTCTCCATCTTCAAATTTCACTTGCAGCAGCTGTTGCAGCAGGACATAAGAGTAGGAACAACTACGAATCCTTACTAAAGCCGATTTATTGGATTCGGCCAATTTGGTGGACTTGGCGCCTACCCACAAAATGCACTCGTGCGCATGCTGCTGTATGACAAACAACACTACGAGCATCGGCATTAATAAACAGCAGCAGCAAAAAAATCTAAGGCTAAGGCGGGAAGTGGTGCAACTGGAGCAAAGGCGCGCACTTGTAACGACGTCTACTGGCGCATGGGACGCCAGTAGTACCAGGAGCAGTTACAACAACGATCTCAACGGCGAGCCAACGGAGTCAGCGACGTGCTCAGCCGGCACGGTCGCGGTCGCGGTGACGATAGCGCGGACGACGTCGACGACGTCTTCGTCGCAGCGGCAGACGACAGAAGCAGCGAAAACAATAACAAAGGAGTTGTATTTGTGTACTACTCCCGCTAGTTTATGCAAAAATTTACTAAAACAGTTTATTAGGCAAGTGTTGACTGCCAACATTTCAAACTTATAAAAGAAGAAGAAAAGCATAACGAAAAACATAAGTAAAATACCAAACACATCCGTGCGAAAACTGTCAAATTGTGCAGCGCACACGCAAGCAATCAAAAATAATTTTGTCATACCCACTGTCAACTTTCTCAACTCGTCAATCGAAGTTTTTTTTTTATATTTTTTACGGACTTACGTACTGCTAAAGGCAATCATAGCAGACAAACATATTAATTTCCATAAGGACGCGTTTTGCTGCCATTTCAAGGCTAGCAACAAATTATATATATGATGGCCGATCATTTGGACGAACCGCCACAAAAGCGGGCTAAGATAGATCAATGTAAGTGTTCGAATTTATCTAGTTATGTCTAATGTTTTTAAGAATGCGTCGATAGATAATACGTAAGATCAAATTTGGTGAGGGGTAGGGCCTCGTTTATAAATTGTAAACATACAAAAAACAAAAAAAAAAAAATCATTTGGAAATAAATTTTGGGACAAGAGTTAGGAGAGTTCACTGTACATACTAAACTATGATGGACTGAAAGTACCTAGATAATAATAGTTCATTTGTAGTATACTCATTCTGGACTAGTCTTTGTAATAAAAGTACATGTGTAATACAAAAATACATGAAAGTTTAATAATTAAACAATTTTCACCTAGCGACTCTACGCTTTCTGGAAGAAAATCTACCCGATGAGTTGGTTTCCTCGAACAGTGGATGGTCAGATCAGCTTAGCACTACTGGTGGCGGCGTTAATGTTGTATCCACAGCAACCGGCGTCGGCACTGGCGGACCAAACAAACCTCCTACTCAGGGACCTGGGTCAGGCGTTGTGCCACCACAAATGAATGGAGCCGGTGGCGGCGGGGATGATGGCAGTGGTAATGCCGGTAGCGGCGCTGCTGGTAGTCAACTACGTCAAATGCAACATCACCAGCATTTGCAGCATTTTTTGCAGCAACAGCAGCAAGGTAACAAAGGCGCTGGCGGTGGCATGGTTGTGCCTGGCATGAATCAACTAGGCAGCAAATCACCCAGCTTGCAATCGCCTAACACGGGTGGCATACAAGTGACTACACAAATGGGCATGGTTAATTCTATGCCCATGTCCATATCAAATAATGGCAATAATGGCATGAATGCTATACCAGGTAATTCTTCTAGAGTCGCAAATTTAAAAAAAACACAATAAATTCATATATTTCTGTTTTAGGCATGAACAGCATTGCACAGGGAAATCTTGGCAATATGGTTCTGACAAACAGTGGGGGCATGGGGACCATAGGTGGCACGGGCTTGGTCAATACACTGAAGCAACCTGTCGCTGCCTCCTTGATGAACGCAGTGCCCGGATCAGTGGGTGTGAGCTCCGTATCCGGTGCAGCGCCTAGTCAGGGTATGCACATGCAAAATGGTCCGATGATGGGACGGATGGTTGGACAGCAACACTTGCTTCGTGGTCCGCATTTAATGGGCGCTGGAGCTAGCGGAGGCAGTGGCCCGGGTGGTGTTGTTGGCGTCGGTGGCGGTCCTCGAATGCAAAACCCAAACATGCAGCTGGGTAAGTGCCCACATACTAAACATTTTCCTAACATTGAAAGCACTGACAAGTGGTTATACGCATGTGTTTTGTACAGGCCAAATTAATAATATGCCTTACGGAGTCGGTAACTATGGTACACCTAGCAGTAACAATCCGCAGCAGCAGCAACAGCTACTTGCTCAGCAGATGGCACAGCGGGGTGGCGGCGGCGTCGTAGCACCCAATATGAGCGCGGGAATGCCCCAAGGAAACCGGCCAATTGGCACAGTTGTACCAATGTCCAGTCTGGGTGGAGATGGACCGCCACCTGGCTCAGGCGGACTCGTTGGAAATCCCCAACAGCAGCAACAATTAGCGGCAGCAAACGCACAAATGAATCCCCAGCAGCAACAGCAACCGCCGAGTGCGCAACAAAGTGCACTGGGACCACGCGCGCCGCAACCCAATCAACTGTTAGGACATTCTCAGCAACAACAGCAGCAACCAGGAACATCTCAGCAGCAAGCAATTTCATCTGGAGTGGCTTCGTCTGTTAGCGGGCCTGCTCCGGCACCAGGCAGCATGTCTGATGAACGCAAGAAACAAATACAGCAGCATTTGATGTTGTTATTGCATGCCCACAAGTGCAACCGGCGCGAGAACATGAATCCCAACCGTGAGGTCTGCAGTGTCAACTATTGCAAGGCCATGAAAGCCGTGTTGGCCCATATGGCCACATGTAAGCAGAGCAAGGACTGCACCATGCAACATTGCACCTCTTCGCGCCAGATACTGCTCCATTACAAAACCTGCCAACGCTCCGATTGCATCATTTGCTATCCTTTTCGCCAGAATCACTCGCTGTTTCAGAACGCTAGCGGCGCAGGAGGTGGTCCTACCGGAGCAGCCAACGCATCACCTTTACAGCAGCAACAACAACAGCAGCAATTAGCACAAGGCCAACCACAGGTTTCGCAAAATCCGTCTGGCGTAGGTGTCGGTGTTGGAGTCGGCGTCGATAGCAAACAAGTGGCACAGAGTACTGGAACTGGCGGCACACAAAATACGGCAATTGTGTTACCGCAGCAGCAGACGCCCGGCGCAACCAATGTACCTAAGAGTAATACGGACTTGGCACAGCAGCAGCAGCAGCAGGTGCAACAACAAGAGCTTCGACGCTTTGAGAGTGTTGGCAGTATAGGCCAAGTTGGGCCGGTCTCAGCTGGGATGTTGGGTGTGCCGGGGCAAGGGATGCCACCGGGTATTCGTATGCAGGGCACTCCATCTGTTCGCGTGCTTGGTGTACAGCCTGGAGCAGGTGGTGCAATATCTGGCGGAGTGCCTGTACCCGGACAAAATGTTTTACCCGGGGCGAACGATGTGACCAGTTTACAACAGCAGCAGGCGCAGGCCGCACAGCAGGGTGGACAACTAATGCTGCAGGGTTGCAATACTAGCACTGGACGCAGGCGCGCGATTCCCAATATGGTTGAACAGCAGCCCAATGCGCAGCAAAGTGTTCAACAACAACAGCAATTGGGCAACATTCCAGCGCCACTGTCGGTCAACGTTGGTTTTAATAATGCCAACTTTGTAGGCGTCGGCGAAAAGCAACAACTAGGGAGTCAGTCGGATCAGATGGCTAAGCTCAAATTACAGGCTCAATCGCAAGCACAGGTACAGGCACACGTCAGCGTAGTGTCAGCAGGCGCGCCAGGTACTGGCAATAGCACAGCTGGTGCTAGCGTTTTGATGCCTGCAGATACCACAGGAGTTGCCAACAGTTCATCAAGTGGATCAAATTCATCAAACGCGGGAGCGGGAAGCGCAGGCAGCGCTGGGGGTGCAGGCGGTGCCCCAGGAAGTGGGAGCGATAGCGAGAAAGACTGGCGCGAATCGGTGACAGCGGACTTACGCAATCATTTGGTACACAAGCTGGTGCAAGCCATCTTTCCGACATCGGATCCAACTACAATGCAGGACAAGCGCATGCATAATTTGGTTTCGTATGCTGAAAAAGTGGAAAAGGATATGTATGAAATGGCAAAATCGCGATCCGAGTACTATCATCTGCTTGCAGAGAAGATCTATAAGATACAAAAAGAATTAGAGGAAAAACGTCTTAAGCGCAAAGAGCAGCACCAACAACAAATGTTGCAAATGCAACAAGGTGGTCCCAACAGTGGTGTCGTCAATCCTACATCAGTACCCAACAACTCGCTTCAACAACAGCCGGGTCAGGGCGTGCGTCCTATTATCAGTCCAATGGGTAGTGGAGGTGGTGGCCCAAGTGGCATGGTTCAACAGCAGATGCGTCCTCAAGCTCCTGGCATGGGGAGCGGCGCTAGCCAGCAGCAGACAGCAGCCGGACAAGCCAACATGGTGGCTGTAGCGGCAAGTATGCGCAGTCATTCGCCCGGTGGCAATATGCTAGCCATACAACAACAGCAGCAACGTATGCAGTTCCCGCAACAGCAGCAGCCTGTTCAAGGCAATATGTTGGTTGGACCATCCGGTCCAAGTCCCGGGGGAATGGTAGCAAATCCAGTGCTATCTCCATTTAACACGCAGCAGACCATGCAATCAGCTTCGTCAGTTGGTGGTGGCCCAGGCATATTAACGAGTCCGGTGACCGCTCAACAACAACAACAACAACAACAACAACAACAACAACAACAACAACAGCAGCAGTTCATCAATGCCAATGGCAGTTCCGGTGGACAGAATTCTCAAATCAGCGAGATAATGAAACAGCGTTTGCTGCAGCAACATCAACAGCAAACAAACGCAGCCATGCTATTACCACAGTCACCCTTTAGCAATGCTACGCCTATCCAGCAGCCGCAACAGCTGCAACAGCAATCAAATGCATTTAACTCACCCATGCAGCAAAAGGCGCAGCAGCCACCTGGTAGTGTGCTAAATAATATGCCGCCCACTCCCACCAGCCTGGATGCACTCACTGCAGGAGCACCTAATGCTGGTGCTGGTGGCATTGGTAGCGGGACTGTGACAGCCCCAAGTCCTTCGCCTAGCTTCATGTCGAACGGACCTATTGGCACACCATCAAACAATCCGCCCTCTGTAAGCAGTCTCATGCAGCCGTTAAGTAATCGAGCAGCAACACCGCCATATATACCTACCTCGCCAGTGCCGGCTACCAGCGCTTCAGGGTTGGCAGCCAGCAGTACTCCCGCTTCGGCAGCAGCTACATGTGCCAACAGCGGTAGTAGTAGCAATATTAGTAGCACCAGCAGTTCTGTAATCACAACGACAGCGGTTACAGCGGTTGTCAGTACTCCCATAAGTTGTGCATCAGGGGCAACACAAACATCAACGACTGCAACAAGTGGCAATGTAAATTCAACGCCAGTAAGCAGCACGGTGCTGCTGGTGGCACGCAGCAATAGCGACAACACTGCTACAGGCCGCGTGATGAGCACCTCCAGTAGTTTATCATCTCAGATGGCTGCACTGGAGGCGGCGGCGCGTGATAACGACGATGAGACACCGTCGCCAGCTGGTGCTAATGATACAAATGGGAGTAATGGTGGTGGTAGTAGTGGAGGTGGTGGAATGTCATCAAAAGGTAAACTGGACTCCATTAAGCAGGAGGATGAGATCAAAAAGGAGTTTATGGACGATAGTTGCGGTGGCAATGGCGATAGTTCACAAATGGATTGCTCGACAGGTGGAAAAGGCAAAAATGTAAACAATGATGGTACCAGCATGCTTAAAATAGACCTTAAGTCGGAGGATGGAGCCGCCGGTGACGTGAAGATCAAGTCTGAGCCTATGGATGTGGATGAATCGGCGGTTGTCGGTGGCATTGCTACTGGCGCGAATGGAGATGGTGGCGGTGGAAGTGATGGCAAGGATGATATTAATGGTGCTATTGATGGCGTTTCTGCGGGAATTGCATCAGATATCAAAATTAAATCTGAGACCAAACCAATGGTTCCGGAGCCACTCGCACCAAATGCTGGCGACAAGAAGAAAAAATGCCGTAAGTTTAATTTTTTGCGGATATTTACTCTAGCTTTAAGTGTAGAAGTAGTACGCAAGATAATGCCAAAAAAAAAACATAATTTAAAAAGATACAACAATTGTTGTTCGAAGGAAGGGTACCCGGAAATATAAATATTTTTTATCGGGAAGCTAGACGAACATAACACAAGAATGACCCCTGATGCTGATGAAACATATTTATCCTTTTCGGATCAGAAATCCTTTAGAATAAAGGTAGAAATCAATGCTAATATTTTATAAAATTTTATTATACCAAGTTTAAGGGTAATACAATTAAGGAGATATTTAAGAAATTCTATTAGTTTGCATCTAGGAATTAAAATTAAGGAGAGGTAATTGGCTAGTAGACTGTTAAAACGTAGAAGAACACTTAGTCTTTAATTATAATTTACAAGATATTTGGAAAATTAATTGACTCATTTGATACTTGTAGAATTTAACCCAGAAGAGCTGCGCACTGCATTACTGCCGACGTTGGATAAGCTTTATCGTCAGGAACCGGAGTCGGTGCCATTTCGTTATCCGGTCGATCCACAAGCTTTGGGAATACCCGACTACTTTGAGATTGTAAAAAAACCAATGGATCTAGGTACCATCCGCAATAACATACTTAATGGCAAATATAGTGACCCCTGGGAGTATGTAGATGATGTGTGGCTGATGTTTGACAATGCATGGCTTTACAACCGCAAAACATCGCGTGTCTATCGTTACTGCACCAAGGTAAGGCTATCTATTATATATTCAAATATAACGATCGATAATCGATCAAATGTGTTTTTAATATAAATTCATATAACTTATTGTAAAAATCATAACTACACCACCTAAACATGCTTTTATATACATATAACTTGTAAGCATGTTAACGTCCTTATGGAGAAGAATTCCATGTAAGCGTTTTGGGTAGTTCCCATCGTACAGCTTTGGATTAGTTTTCTAACATTGTTTCCATTTTGCTATGAAATATCTTTCCGAATACGATTCTGAGCCATGCTAAACATAATATGCTACTAAGGTGTATTTCCCATGAGGATAACGATGCTATATATAAACAGCTCTTTGACAAAATCGAGTACACGGTGATCGAGAATTAAAGGCAAGGTAAAAAAAGAAAGCAACAGTAAAAAGATGTGCAGAAAAATTGTTGATACAAACCTAATTTCATGAACAATAATAAGAATTCAAATAAAGAATTATAAACAATGGAGACTATACCGGCTTCTAACCTAAACCTAAATCCACCAAAAAATCTGAATTAAGAAGTCTATTTATAGCTATGTCCGGTTGTACGAGTCTCAGTTGTAAAGCTATGATCATCATTAAGCTTTCCATAGGTCATTTCGTTGGACAGTATATAGAAAAAAACAGAGATTAGCTAAATTAATGTATATTGGGGCTATGCCCCATTATGTGTACATGCAATAACAAAATAGTTTCCGTAATTATAATCCACCATATATTTATATATATTTTTTATTAACTATAGTTGTCAGAGGTGTTCGAGGCTGAAATTGATCCTGTGATGCAAGCATTGGGGTATTGTTGTGGTCGAAAGTACACATTTAATCCGCAGGTGCTATGCTGTTATGGCAAACAGCTGTGTACGATACCACGAGATGCCAAATACTACAGTTACCAAAACAGGTGAGTTTACCGCTCTTGCGGGTCTTGGGTCTTCCCACAGCACTTAAATGTCTACATAGATACAAGCATAAATAACACGATTGCATACATACACACATATACAAATGTTTATTTTGTTTCTTCGTGTGGTTTATATATGTTGTAAAGATAAGCTTTCAAGAGTTGTATTGAAGTTTGAAGCAAATTATGTTGAAACCTCATATTGCCTATTCAATTGTGGAAACTTAGAACAAAATAAGGAATCAGGAAACGGCGTAAATAATTAAATTTTAAATTTAACTTTATACACAGCCACAATGATATTATTAAATGGGGCTCGCGTTATTCAATAAAACAGACTAAGTTTCGTTCAAAGGATATTTTTTTTTTGGGGGTTTCGCAAACCACCATGCCTGTCTGCAATGTTGACACACATATTGAATGGATTATCTGGACATGTCCGGTAATTTTGTAAAAATATGCGTAAAATTTCTCCATGGCGTATAGCCTGAATCTTTTAGGTTTTAATGGTTAGAGTCTCCAAATTTGATATATAGCTTGTAGAGTAGTATATACAGATCAAATAACTTTAAATATTATAGCAAAACTGTAAAAATGGAATTTGACGAACCCATGAAGAAAATGAAAAAAAAATATGTTAGGATACGTAAAGTAATTTAAAACAGGCCTCTAACACTAAAAATAATAGGAATGCTCTAGTTAGAACTACCTCGACTAGGATATACGCTGAACTTACTACAAAATGAGAACCGGTAGCTTTCTGAAGCCCAAAAATACGCGTTCCACCCAATTTAAAGGGTAAAGAAATAAAATATTATTTTTTGTGCGATGGAACAGCATTAAAATTTGTTGCGTTAATTTGTGGATAGTTCCACATGATTTATATTTATACCCGAACCCCATTAAAAATGGGTAAAAAGGGTATAATGTGTTTGTGTAAATGTATGTAACAGGCAGAAGGGAACATCTCCCTCCGACCCTATAAAGTATACATATATATTCTTGCTTGTCGAGCTAGCCATGTTCGTCTGTCTGTGTGTCCGTCTGTCCGTATGTATGAACGCAAGGATATCAGAACCTATAAGAGCTAGGGACTTGAAATTTTAGATGTACGTCCTCCTAGTGCCTGCGCAGATCGAGTTTGTTTTCGATAATCGATAACTTACTCCTTTTCCAAGTAATCGATAAAGATAGATATCGACATTCTGTTTGCTTTTTGGATTTTCATCCTTTTGTTATTTGCATTTTGTGGCTTAAGAGTTACCTTTTCCTATTGGCTAGTGTCCCGTCAATACCACGGTTATTCGGTATTTTATGGCAAGGAGGTCAGTTGTCCAGTTGTTGTCATATGTGGACTTTGGCAAATGCTTTCCACAGCTAATCCTGCTGTTCATAGCGGTAGATGTCGAGCTCTGATCCTTGCTGTGCCAACATATCGGCTTTATTGTAGTCTCCAATATCACTGTATCCGTGGAGCAATGTTACCCGGGCTTTTCTTCGGCTGTGTTAATTACTTTATTTCTACCATGCACAACTTTCAAGGTTGTTCTGTATAAGGATAGGGATATGGTAACCTGCTGGCTATCGGAATGTAATTTTTAGATAATTCTGTCAAAGATCAGATCGTACCGGCCCTGTTTAAAGCCATAGTATGTATTTGGATTGTAACTCCCAGTTTTCCCAAAACATTTTTTAGTGCAGTAGAATCTATTATCTAGTAAAATGCAATAAGAGCTAGAGCACCAAACATGATATGTTGCTTCTAGAATATTTTATATATGCCAAGTATCTTTAATTTTATACCTATCGCCACCTCCCCACGACCATCCCTGAGCTATAAATCAAGTTAATAACCCAACCAATTAAAACCACAATTTAAATGAAATTGACAGAATACACAGATATTCTATGGTACAATAAGATATAGTGTAGAAAATTTCATTAAGATCGGTTAAGAAAACCCCAAAAGTCTGCTTCGAATCCTATTAAAAGTATTCAAATTGCGATTGTTGTCAGTGCTGCTATTTTAATTCGGCTTTTCTCAATATTACTCAATTATTGGTGTGGCTGTCCAGAGTTCGAGCCCTACATGGGAAACTATTAGTTTTTTTTTTTTTTGTCGTGGCTGTTCAGCAGAGTCGTCAGCAAGTAATGCGGTCAGTTGCGAGTTTGAACCCCTGCCAAGGAAACTTTTTTAAATTGATATTTATTACTTCAAACGAGCGCGTTGCGCGAACTGCATTTGGTGTTTGAATAGGAGGGTTCAGGGTAATCCCTAGTCGGGAGCTCCTGACGAGAACCTCTTACTTGTTTTGATTTATAGCGTGTTATGTTTTAGGCGGGAATGCCTGTAACTTTAAAATGAAAGATGCTTGATCTGTATATACTATTCAGAAAGCTACATGTCATATTTGGTCAAAAAAAAAAAGGATTTCGATATAGATTTTTATGTTTTGCTTAAAACGGTGCAAACAAACTCGTACTGCGCAAGCACTATTCAAAGTCTCCAAATTCAAAGTCTCTAGCTTTTATAGGTTCTGTGACCTATAATCGTTGAGCGATTATGTTTTCTTATGCATGTGTTTTTATTTTTCATCCTCATATTTGTATATATAATATAAAGTACATAACCTTTCCTGAACTGTCACGCTTGCAAAATGCGCATATGTATAATCTTTGGAGTTTATCAAAAAAAAACAAGTATATAGAAAATATATATAGAATTTCCTATTTTGACATGCCACCAATGAGTGTAGCTTCGAGACTGAAGCTTTAAGCAAGAAACCAAACCAAAAGCCAATATACTATTTTCACTTTGTGAAAGCAGACTTATTTTAGATTTGTACATGCTTTGCCAGTCGATTGAAGCTTAAGCTCCTTATTGTGTGTTGTAACGAATTATGCGAGGAAAAACAATAAAACTTATGTGTTTACGCAATCATGCAACTGTGTTTACTTGCATTTAAATTGTCTTGCTTTTGTACGTATGTATGCATATTTATTATATGTCATATTTAATTGTAAATCAGTTTTTAAATATACGGAATCTAACTAACAATTCCAATAAATAAGTTTTAAATTATTTAATCTGGATAAATTTGACGTTTCTCATATATATATATATTTTCATTTGCGTATTCTAAGTTTCTAATGACAAATACTTGGATTTTATTTATAATTATTTTTATATAAAAACCGTCAAAAATACAAATTTTTGGTTTTGCTATATAATTTATGCTAAAAATGTACTCTGCATCAATTAAAATGATATAACTATTTTCCATGATTGCATACATATATCTCAATATGTACACGGTTTACTTGTTGTTGCTGTTTGTATGTGAAATTTTCGTTTTATTTTTGCTTCATTTGACTCTCATTTCGTAAATCGTGCGTATTATCAATTGTCCAATTGTCATCGCCTATTGCCATTGCTCATTGCCATCAACTCGTAAATTGTTGCCATGAAAATCACAACAGTCTAAAGGAATACGGTGTTGCCTCAAATAGATACACGTTCTGCCAAAAGTGCTTTAATGACATACAAGGAGACACTGTAACTCTGGGCGATGATCCACTTCAGTCACAAACGTAAGCATATAGGTTAATCACTATAATCAAAATAACAAATAAACTAATATTATTTATACCTAGCCAAATTAAAAAGGACCAATTCAAAGAGATGAAGAACGACCATTTAGAGCTGGAGCCCTTCGTTGATTGCCAGGAGTGCGGACGCAAGCAACATCAAATCTGTGTGCTTTGGCTTGATTCAATATGGCCCGGCGGTTTTGTATGTGATAATTGTTTAAAAAAGAAGAACTCAAAACGAAAGGAGAACAAATTCAATGCCAAGCGATTGCCTACCACCAAGCTGGGTGTGTACATTGAGACACGTGTTAACAATTTTCTAAAGAAAAAGGAAGCTGGCGCTGGTGAGGTGCACATACGAGTGGTGTCTTCATCGGATAAATGCGTTGAAGTTAAACCTGGCATGCGGCGTCGGTTTGTTGAGGGCGGTGAAATGATGCAAGAGTTTCCATATCGGGCAAAGGCCTTATTTGCCTTTGAAGAAGTGGATGGCATTGATGTATGCTTCTTTGGTATGCACGTACAGGAATATGGTTCAGAATGCCCAGCGCCTAATACTCGACGCGTCTATATTGCTTACCTTGATTCTGTGCATTTCTTTCGACCTCGCCAATACCGCACTGCGGTTTACCATGAAATATTACTCGGCTATATGGACTATGTGAAGCAGCTGGGCTATACGATGGCGCACATCTGGGCTTGTCCACCCTCTGAAGGGGACGACTATATATTTCATTGTCATCCGACTGATCAGAAAATACCTAAACCGAAACGTTTGCAAGAGTGGTACAAAAAGATGCTCGACAAAGGCATGATTGAACGCATCATACAGGACTACAAGGATATACTTAAACAGGCCATGGAAGATAAACTTGGATCGGCCGCTGAATTGCCCTATTTCGAGGGGGATTTTTGGCCAAACGTACTTGAGGAGAGCATTAAAGAACTGGACCAGGAAGAAGAGGAAAAACGCAAACAAGCCGAGGCCGCCGAAGCTGCTGCTGCTGCCAACGTACGTTTTTAAAATTAACAATTAGAAGTTAATTAACAATTGCTAATTCGTTATTTTTAATTTTGTAAACACTGCAGCTTTTTTCCGCTGAGGACAACGAAGTCAGTGGCGATGGCAAAAAAAAAGGACAGAAAAAGGCCAAGAAGTCCAACAAATCGAAAGCAGCACAGCGCAAAAATAGTAAAAAGTCCAATGAGCATCAGTCGGGAAATGATTTGTCCGCCAAGATCTATGCAACCATGGAGAAGCACAAGGAAGTTTTCTTTGTTATACGCTTACACTCGGCCCAGTCAGCAGCAAGTCTGGCTGTAAGTCTTACAGTTTTAATTTGAAACACATTAATTGACTCTATGCACATCACTTGTTTGCTTAAACCAATTTAATTTTCGTACGCAGCCCATACAAGATCCTGATCCGTTGCTCACCTGTGATCTGATGGATGGACGTGATGCATTCCTGACACTTGCCCGTGACAAGCACTACGAATTTTCTTCATTGCGACGCGCACAGTTCTCCACACTATCAATGTTGTACGAGTTGCACAATCAGGGCCAGGACAAGTTTGTTTATACTTGCAACAACTGCAAGACTGCAGTAGAGACGCGCTACCATTGTACCGTTTGTGATGTAAGATCGATTGGCTTTTTTTTTTTTTAACTGCTGCTCTCTAAATTATAATTAATTTTTAAGCATTATCTGACTAATATTACTTTTTGGGGTTATAGGATTTCGATCTCTGCACGGTATGCAAGGAGAAGGTTGGACATCCACATAAAATGGAAAAACTAGGCTTCGATCTTGACGATGGCTCGGCTCCGGCTGATCTTAAGCAGGCAAATCCTCAGGAGGCACGCAAACAGTCTATTCAACGATGCATTCAATCTCTGGTACACGCGTGTCAATGTCGGGATGCTAATTGCCGTTTGCCTTCGTGTCAAAAGATGAAACGGGTAGTCCAGCATACAAAGAACTGCAAGAGAAAGACAAATGGTGGCTGTCCCATATGCAAGCAGCTGATCGCCCTATGCTGTTATCACGCTAAACACTGTCAGGAGCAAAAGTGTCCAGTGCCCTTCTGTCCAAACATTAAGCTCAAACTAAAACAGCAGCAGCTACAGCAAAAGTAAGTAACTGAACGCAATATTTGTATATGATAGATTTGGTACAATGATTTCCTGATTTCACGGGGCTTTCGCTAATCATAAATTGCTCATTTTACTTAGAGCTTCAATATTAGTATCATTAAACGCAAAATCAAGATCATCGATCTACAATATGAATGAAATGAGCCAAATGAAGTTCAGAACGCGAAGTACGAGTTCAAATGTTTGAAAACTTGCCCTGTTTCCACTTCCCTGCGGCAAGTTTTGTGCTCGAAATTTTAGATATACATTTTTCATATAGTTCGCAATATTAGAAATTTTAATTATACCTGTACTATCTTGAACTTAATAACTGGTAAAGAAAAAATAGCCAAATTGCCTCCAATTTACCACAGTTGTATGGAATTTCCAAACGTGCTAAAACACGTATTCATTAATTTCTAATTTAGGGCTATAAGAGTTGAGTTTGAAACAACCTAAAACTTACCCCACAAGTCCTTGATCCAAGTTTTCCACCCAGGAAGCTTGCATTTTGTGAAATACGTCTCATGATTTTTATACCCTGAACCCATTAAAAATGGGTATAAGGGTATATTGTATTTGTCCAAATGTATGTGACAGACAGAAGGAAGCATCTCCGACCCCATGAAGTATATATATTCTTGATCAGCACCAATAGCCCAGTCGATGTAGCCATGTCCGTCTGTCTGTCTGTCCGTCCGTCCTTCCGTCCGTGCGTATGTATGAACGCAAGGATCTTATAAGAGCTAGAGACTGGAAATTTTAGATGTAGGTGCTCCTGGTGCCTGGGCAGATCGAGTTTGTTTCCGATAATCAATAACTTACTCCGTTTCCAAGCAATCGATAAAAATCTATATCGATATCCTGTTTTTTGGGCAATTTTGGTAAATAATAAGAGCTAGAGTCACCAAACTTGACATATAGCTTCTAAAATAGAATATATGTATGCGTTTGATGTTGGAATAAGATGGTTCAGGGTATCCCCTAGTCGGAAGCTCCCGACTAGAACCTCGTACTTGTTAAAATTTAATACGAAACATCACCCACAATAACCTTTCGGCCCCCCATTTCCACCAAGAAGGATTGGATTATCCAAAAACGAAGCGCACCTTAAATGAATTTGTACAAAAATCTTTTAAAACGGGTTATGCTGCGCAATGATCACTTATTAGTCAGTCAGTCAGTCGGGACAAACAGTTTTACATATCGAAAAAGCGACACTAAATTTGGTATGTAGCCTCTTGTATAGCATAGCACAGGTACAGAAAATTAGTTTTTGTAAACCTGCCCACGTTTCTCCAAAATTTAAAAGTGTATTAAAAGAGTTATAGTCTTAAATTTTGGTGTTTACATTCATTTAGATGGTATAATATAAAGATCGGACAATTAACCACCGCAACAATAATAAAAGCATAACCAACAGCTTTAAGCAAAGGAAAGAAGCAGCGCGGGCGTAGCGTACCTAGATGCGCCGCAAGCAGCGTGCTATTTTGTGTGTGGTTGTAGAAGAGTATTATCGGGAAACTCAAGAATTCCTATTTCTTAAAATCAACATAAACCTGTCATCATCAAAAATAATGATAAATAATGTGTATCACATTGCCACATAACAGTGTGACAATTCGATATCGACCAGATTTTGGCCATATTCTCGTAATGCTCATAATTTCGTAGTTTTCTTATGAGTTTTGTTATTTTTTTTTATTTACCGTATTTTATCAGTTTTTGCCACGCCCAATTTTGTATTTTCAAATTAGGACAATTTTCCACCCACTTGCGAAAGTGTCATACATGCCTTCAATGAATTTATATAAAGCTAATGAAAAAGAGTATTTAAAGATAAAGATCAAATTAAACCAATAAGCATACACCGCATTGGTCGACATTGGGGGTGGATTTTGATTTCCTTTGAGCATTCAACACTTCAAAGTTCGACCATACAACCATTGATTTCCATGTCGGGGCAGTTTCAAGAAAGTGTCAAACATGTCATTCGAAATGTGTTTGAACCCAAATAAGCCTTAACGGTTGACGAATTGTATGATGGGATTTTGACCGTAAATGTAGCTTGTAATTGTCAAGCTTGGTAAATTAACATTTTATTCAGAAACACTCTACCGACAATAGTTTTAATAAGATAAAATTACTAATCATAAAATAACAATATTGTATGCTTAGTGATAAAGTGGTCCGAACCGAAATTATTCATCTTAGTTTCATACAAATTAATTTAAAGCTAGTCTAGTTGGCATAGGAACAGACAGGTTTATAGACAGACAGGTATGGCTATATAATCAATAACGTGTTATTTATGGTTTTTAGGAATTTGCATCTTAACAGCTTTTTAAAGGCTGCTGAGCCAACAGATTGCTCATTTTTATACCATTGTACAGGGTATAACCGTTTCGTCATGAAATGTGCAGACATCCGAAACTCGGTATTTTTTAGTACATTAATGCAAAATCTTTTTGTAGGCAGAGCGAAGATATCCTATTGTCTCGTTTGCTTTTAAACTAGCGTAAAAATGTATTCACCACAAGTTTTTAAGTAAATTAAAGATAAAGTCCCTAGAACTTTCCCCATACTTCACATTTGGTGTATTTTGACTAAACGAAGGAATTGGTGGAAGACCGATTTATTTGATTACAAACTCCTTTTTTATCTATTCTTATTGTTCATGGCAGCTATAGTAGTCTAACGTATGCATGCATGCATACATATTAAACAAAGTTTTTTATACGAAACCAGCAGGTTAAAATTGTACATTTAATTAAAACTTAAATTTTCTAATTTCAGATTGCAACAGCAACAATTACTGCGCCGCCGCGTCGCCCTCATGTCCAGAACCGCAGCTCCTACTGCTTTACCCGGACCAGCAGTAAGCGGCCCTGTAGTTGCAGCCGGTGGCGTCGGTGTTGGTGTGCCAGTAGTGGGCATGTCTGGTGTGGCAGTTAGTCAACAAGTGATGTCCGGGCCGGCTTCCATATTGCCAAGTAGTGGCGGTGGCATGAGTCCATCCACAGTGCCGGTACCGTCTCCGGTTTCTGGTGCTGTCATCGCTGGAATGACCTCGCCACATCCACACCAACCAGGCATTGGCATGAAGCCCGGTGGTCACTCGCCGTCGCCAAATGTCCTACAAGTGGTCAAACAGGTGCAGGAGGAAGCAGCACGCCAGCAAGTGCCGCATGGCGGTAGCTTTGGGAAAGGCGTGCCAATGGCTCCACCTGTTATGCAACGGCCCATGGGTGTAGGCGTACCAAACCAAGGCGCGATGGGCGGCATGGTCGGCAATCAGCTTACTGGAAATGTAGGCGTGGTACCCGGTGGTGGACAGATGCCAAGTGGGGGGAATTGCAACAATGTTTTGAATTCTAATAATCTACTACCAATGGATCAGTGGGGTGGAGGCGGTGGTCCTCAACAACGCTATGCTAACAATACGCCTAATCAGCAAGGAATGCGCCAGCCAAACCAACTGATGCAGCAAAATATACAGCAACAACAGATGTTGGGCATACCATCCAATCAGCTGGGTGTCGGTGTTGGAGTGGGTGGCAGCGTTGGGACTGGTCAGATGCCCGTAGTAGGGGCTGGCGTCAGCATGGGCGGCGGCGGAGCAGCTCATGGCATAGGCTTAGGTGCGCCAATTGGTGCTGCCACCTCTGGAGGCGGTGTTCGCCCACCAGGCGCACAAGGTGTAGGCGGTGGTGGAACTGGAGGGGCGGGGCCCAACATGGTTAACGGACCGCCACTCAACACGCAAACACTAGCTCAGATTATGCAGAAGATCAAAAACAATCCGACCAATGAGAGTAATCAGCACATACTGAGTATACTAAAACAGAATCCCCAAATAATGGCGGCCATCATAAAGCAGCGCCAGCAGAGCCAAATTAATGCTGCCGCTGGAGGAGCTGGTGGAGCCGGAGGCGCATTGCAAGCTGGCAATGGACCACAAACACCGCAGCAACAACAACAGCAGCAGCAGGTGATGCAACAACAACAAATGCAGCACATGATGAATCAACAGCAGCAGGGACCTGGCCCTGGGCCACAGCAAATGGGACCCGGCCAACAGCAGCAAGTCAGCCTAATGCAGGGTGCACAACAGCCGCAACAGGGACCTCCGCATCAGCGCATGGCCAACATGCAGAATACAGCTATGATGCTGCCAAATTTGCCGCCGGGCATTACCAATCAGGGGGGCATGGTAAGTAAAGTAGTGTTAATACTCCCTCTGTCCTGTCACAATATGAACTTTATCTTTGGCGTAATGAAACTCACAGAGCTTATAGAGTAGCAAAAGTAATTATGTAATTATGAGTGGTGGTCATTCAAAGCAAGTTGGTATTTATTCATTTTACCTCACTTAAAAATATAATAATTAAAAATAAACCAAATCGAATGTCCACAATCTTAATTACATAAAAGCGGCTATTGTTTCTAATGGTTAAAATTATTTCTGCATGATAAGATGGAAATCGGAAACATATTGAGCGAATGAATGAAATTAATACAATCTTTAGAAAGCTGAGCCTTTTGTTTTTAAATATTGCTATTGTGGATTTGTTTTTCTCTTTTACAATTTGAATTTCCGAAATCGGTGAATCACACACAAATTAAGAATTTTATGATGCATTTTTGAAAGTGAGTTCATCAAATGTATCTGTCCTAAGCCTATTCTTTTTCGTTGGGGTGTTTGGAATAGAGCCTTATTAAAATAGGTGAAACATATATATAAGCTTATCATTTTTGGAGGAATATAACTCTTCCTTACTGAACATATGCTATCTCTTTTGCACAGGTACCAAACCAAAACTGGACTAAGATGCGCTATATGCAAATGAATCAATATCCGCCACCATATCCACAACGCCAACGCGGTCCACACATGGGCGTTGCTGGTCAACCGCAATTTCCAGGCGGCACAACAGGCAACTTTAATGCAGGAAGCGCTGGAAATGTTACCGGTGTACAAGTAGCCGGTACAACTGTTGGAAGCGGTGCGGCTGGAACCGTCTCTGACCAATATTCCATGGCCAATGCGGCAGCCTCCAATATGCTGCAACAGCAGCAGACCGTCGGCGGTGCAGGTGTTAAGCCTGTGCCACAACAGCAACAACAACAGATGGGTGTAATCCCACCAGGAATGCAGCAACAGCCGATGCAGCAGCAACAACAACAGCAAATGATGCAGGCTGTAGCAGCTGGTGGTGGGGGTATGACAGGTACAAATCCTCAAAATGCGTTGCCCGGCGGCAGTAGCGGCCCAACTGGACCCGGCTCAAATGTGATGGGCCCGCCAACACCGCATACATTGCAGCAGCAACTGATGCAGACGGCTCGCTCCTCACCACCGATACGATCGCCACAGCCAACGCCTTCGCCCAGGTCTGCGCCATCCCCACGCGGTCCGTCTGCATCGCCGCGCGCGCAGCCCTCGCCGCATCATGTAATGAGCAGTCATTCACCGGCACCTCAGGGGCCACACGATGGCTTGCATAATCACGGCATGCATCATCAGTCACCGCTGCCGGCCGTGCCTCAGGATGTGGGCGTTAGCGGTGTCAGTGTTGGGGTTAATGCTGGTAACGTGGGGAATGCCGGCGGCTCTCTGCCTGATGCCTCCGATCAGCTGAGCAAGTTTGTGGAGCGGCTCTAGTGCAACAACATCGCCAATGGCAACGGCAATGTTACCAACAACAAAATCAGCAACAACACCTATAAATATAACGTACAAGCGCAACAGTCATCGCAGTCCCTTTCCTTTTGATGCTTGGCCATGTCGTTTGTGCTCTTATGCTGACGGTGTTGATTCTTCTGCATTAGGTGGCTATACAAATTACTACAAAAACATTGTGTGTTTATCATTATGTATTAATTATGTACTTTCTTATGTAGAGATATGTTTACTATCAGCTATCGGCTGTCAACTATTATGTAATTTAGTTTATTTTTGTTTCTGCGCCTCAGGTTGTGTTGACATTTTGACATGCATTTGCAGGAGGATTGCAACCACGCGTTTATATACACTTTTATTTATAAATTTAGAACTTTATAAAAGCACAGACAGCATATGTAATTGCAAATGCAAAATTGTAATAATGATTCTGATTCTTATGTACCATATGTATGCTCATCGTAAGGGCAAAAATATTTTTTTTTTATAATTTACGTATTCAAAAACTTTTCTATCAATGTTGAGTGCAATCGATTAGGAGACTTGCTCGAAACTTTGGCAAATGGGTAATATATTTTTTGTAGACGTAAAACGTTCAATTATGTTTTCTCTTTAGTATGCAAAATATATACAACACAATATAAATATATAATTCTAGAGATGCTGGAAGTAAACGAAAAGCAGAATGTATCAGAAATTAAGGAGAAAATAGTACATTATATTATATCTAAATAGTACATTAAATCTAGTACATTATTTCATTAAACATTTTATTTATTTAAGTCATTTATACAACGTAAATTCGATTTGACCTACATGTCTTAAATCAACAATTTCAATGATGCAAATAGTTTCGAAGCTAATTTATTCTTATTTTAAAAAGTTAATTTTTTACCTAACTTTAAGTCAAAAATTGATCATTCTAAATCAAGAGACACGCAACAAACAAACAAAAAAAAAAAAATTAATAATAATAAAATCCATGTGTTAGGACTATCATAACTTTTGAAAGAATATAGACTATATAAACGCATGTGTACAGTGGTTTACGGCTACCAATTCATAAGCTTAGTTAGCGGTTGTCAGTTTAATATCTGCTCCTTATAGGAGCTTAAATTGGGAACACGTTTAGAAAATTTTTTTTTATTTAGATGCAGTTTTACAAGTCGCTTCATTTTTTTTTTTATCAACTTCCAATTGACATACAACAATAAGATTAGTAGAAAATACATCTACAACCCCAATAACACTAACGACCAAATAACCCACATACAAAACAATTTAGGCAGTAGTCCAAAATGTTCAGGCTCGTTTATCACATAAAGTTAGCCGTGCGTATGTGCGGTATTTTTCTTATGCTTTTGTTTTTCATACGCATATACATACATGTACATTACATTTTTGCTATCAATTGTAAATACATACTATAATTTATTTAGTATTTCATTTTGTGATAGCTGGTAAAAGAAAAACAAGAATCATATTTAAATACATCGGTTCTAATTTAATTTAATTTTATTTTTGTGCCTCGTTCACATTTGTCACTGAAACCGAAGGCAGAATATAAAATGTTATTATATTGAATATTCAAATTTTAATAAATGCTATTTATTAACGCTAGGCACATACATTTAGCTGTAGGAAGCTAGTCGTAAGGCGTACACTATTTACTAGGTTATTAACATTTAGATTGTAGCCTACATTTTTTATAAGCTTTGGAATACGCATATTTTTTACAAGAGTTGCCGCCGCCCAACAATCGTAGAGAACGAGAGAGAGGGTTAAACATTTGTAAATTATAAAAACACCTACACATACACATAGATACAAATACAGAGTATATTAACATTTGTTTAAGTCGAAATGTAACTGCACATAACAAATGCCTTCACAAATGCGTTAACAGAAGAAATCGAACATTTAATGTATAAAGTATACATGCGTGTAAGCCTTGTATGTACATTGCTGTATGGCACGTATAAAAACAAATCCAATGGTCTAGTTCATAGCCTTGCATAAATTTATATGTGTAACCATGAAACCATTCACAATATATATGTACATATACAATTTGTGTTTTTAAATCGCGTAGTTTGTTACCTATATAATATCAATGGTAAACAAAAAACTAAAGCAAAGTGGTGTCTGTGCTTGTGTTACTGCCGTTAAACGTTCAAATGCGCCGCACAATCAAAAAAAAAAAAAAAAAAAAAAAAAATTAATTGAAGGGAAAGGCGATTCAGCCATCTCCTTTAGGCCCTTGTAAAAAGATATAGATAGAAATAAAACGAAACAGAAACATGACGCTGCCTTTTAAAAGCGGTTGCTATGACGCGCTCGGTAAGTGCGCAGGCACAGTAAAAAAAAACGTATACATCAGCAAAAAATAAAATGGCAAGCTCCGATATTGGCCTTCTTTCTGGTTTTGTTAGTTTTCCGTCAGCAGCAATGAGTTGTGCGAGCGCGAGTCCGTGTATGTGTGTAGATTCCTACATGGAAGAAATTGTAAAATAAGTGTAATTTGGTGTCGAAAGTATCGAAAGATATGGAGAAAGAGAGAGAGAGAAAGAGAGAAAGAAAGAAAGAAAGAGAAAGAGAGGGAGAGCGAGAGCGAGACGGAGAAAGAAGAAGGGAGGTAGGGAGAATATTCCAAAACTTTTGTGATTAAAATTATAAATGAAGAGAGGAGCAACACAAACACAAGCATTAATTGTGTATATCGCGAACCGAGTGTAGTGACGTAGAGTCTAAGTCTTAGCCTAAAATCAAGGGCGACATCGCCAATTAATAATTCTTTAATATTATATAAAACACATGCATATTTGTGTGCATATGCATACTCTATATGAGAGCCGACAAGATAATAAAGCGATTGTAAATTTTAAAGATAATTTTATTTGATGACAAGTGGATGCAATGTCCACATTGCTGATATCGTTTATTATAAAACATGCAATTTCTTGAATGCAAATAAGAAAACAAAAATTAAGTAAAAAACACGAAAGCAACATAGTTAAGTTAAGTGTAAGTCAAGCCTTAGTAAAACTAGTTATAATTACAAAGGAAAAGAAACAAAATCCCGCAAAGAAATACAATAATCTATAATCAATACAATGGTTACAATATAATACTTGTAAAATAGCGCGAAATGAGTTTCTGCATGTATGCATATATGTGCATTGTATTAAGACAAACCATTACGATTTTGTCTTTTTTTAATTATTTCTTTAATGATTATTTTTTTCTTCATTGTTTTACCAAACATGTTTTTTTTTTATATTGATTAAATTGCTACTTTGTAACTTAATACACATTTATTAAAAATGATTATACTATAACAAAATAATATAAACCACAGCAACAACAAACATTGTAATTAACAAAATACTTTGCTAAAAAGTGTAAAATAAATTAAATCTAAAATAAAAATGATGAAATTTAACATTTTTCCACCAAATGTGTTTTTAATAGTCGGTTGGAGTAAAGAGGTCAATATTATTTTACTATGCGTCTCATATATGTATGTATATGCAAAATCCTGTCAACATCGGACGACTGTACCATATAGCTGCCATAAGAACGGTCAGTTAAAAATAAAGTTATAATTTTCACAATGTTGCCTACATTAATGCAAAATCTTATTTGCATCGGACCACTCATTCCACTCATTCATGAAGCTGCCATAAGAAACAATTGTTTTTTCAAGATATCTTAACGCTTTATCAATATAGGTACTGCCAGGTAATTCGCATTTTTTTAATCCATTGGCGAAGACAATCACTTTTAGGAAACTTAAGCATTCTTACAGTCAAGCCCGTCCCTATAGTTTCGAAAGAGTTTCGTTCTGGGGCTTCTGCGAGTTTTTTATTCTGTTGTCTTTTTTCATGAAATTTAACGTTTCAAATGTCTAGAATTGGCAAAAAATTCTCATAAATGCAAGTGATTTTGTTTATGATCTTATTGACATTGTAAAAATATTGAGTTAAAGGATAATTTGCAAACTTCATCGATGTAAAACACATATCTCGATCTGATATAGCTTTTACAGGACAGCTATCAAGCTCAAAGTATTTGGTCATGGCATCTTTGGCTTTCCTGGTATTGGTACTATTTACTGTAAATAATATCACAAATTTTATGAAGGCAACTACAATTACCTTATTATTTTTTTTGTGATATTGAATAAAGGACCTAAATGGTAAATATATAAATATGCACATGTTTTTCAAAATTTTTCACACATGCGTGTGTGTCTTACCATGCACCTTCATCATATAGAGTAAATTCGGTGAAAATTTCAGCTTCCTAGCTTTCACGGTTTGGGCTGTGCGTTGATCACCAATCAGTCAGTCGGTCAGGACAAACAGTTTTATATATAAAAATTGTACTGTGTGAATTGTATGGAAATCTATCTTAAACACCGCATTTATAACAACATATGGTCTTTGCGAATTCGTGGACACAATCCCCACCCCATCTTGTCATCGCGAGAAGCTATACGCAGAGGAGTGTGTGCGCCTGAATTAAAGACGACGAAGCGACAGGGTGAGCAGACTATGGGCGCTAGTAACATCATTTCAATTCCTCGAATTTTAAGGACACGTCGTCACAGACGAGGGCCAACTCACTGCTTTCCAAAGATTTCCGAACCCGAAATCTAGAAAGGAAATAAAATCGCTTTTGGGACTGCTCAGATATATCAGAAAATGTATCAGGGATTTGAAAGGTTAAAAAACCAGCCAAAATCAGCGACGACTAAGTCAATACTTTTGAAACTGTCAAGTTTATCCCTACTGCAGGCGCTAGTTACGTAGCCATAGGATCAGTTCTTTCCCAGGGCAACTAAGAAAGCGATTAACTTGTTTCTTTGGATAGTCGGGAATTGTCAGACACTGCGCGTACATGCCCGACAGTAGAAAAAGAGATGTAAGCCATAATCTGGACTAACAAACATTTCAGACCTTACCTGTTCGGTCGAAATT